TCCTCCTGCCTCACCCAGGGCCAGAAGGGTTTTTTTGAAAACAAAAATAAAGGGGAAAATACAGCCTCCACCCTTCCACCTATTTTAGCCCGCAAATCAAATAAAACAATCTCAGAGCTGGCACCACAGGAGCAGTGAGTGCCAGCTCCCAGCCTCTCACATGAGGTGTCGAAATGAGAGGAGATGAACAAACAACCCCCAGGTGCCTGGGGGGCACAAACTGGTTTTAAGATGCTGGTGGCTTGGTTTTTCCTGKGTGGTGGTGGGAGCAGACCCCCACAAACATCCCATGACTGAGCAACTGCCCCCTAAAGTACTGAGCTATGGGGACAGATTGATTTGGCTCAGTGAAAAGGGATCATGATGGGTTTCATGGATGTCCTTGGGGCAATGCAGCCAGTGACAACATGGTGAAGGGGACAGCAGGCTCAGCAGCGCCTCAGATGTGCCCAGTGCTTGCAGAGAGCCCTGCMAGGATGAGCTGGGTGCCAAAGTGCCCTACAGAAGCTGGAGTTCTGCCCTGGCTGGGCTCACACTTGGCCCCTGTRTGTTTGGTTAAGTGACTGAGGTGARTYGTTAAAATACAGCTGGGGGGGATTTGAGTGGGTTTCCAGGCAAAATTCCCCTGCTSAGAGCTATGGACTCTCAGAGGTGGCTCTGCATTTGCCATGAACAGACCTTGTCATGGGTCCAATTAAGATTTTTCAAAATTTGCCAGGGGATCCGTGTTCTCCACTCTGTGGGGGCAATCATAACGCATTTTCTTCTCCACCTTCAGCACCGTGAGCAGCTGGGAGATGCTCTGCAGGGCATTCCCTTCTTCACAGCCTCCTCCTCAAGGCAGTCAGATCAACCACTCTCATTTCTCGCACTGGGGCTGCCTAAGGCACATTGGTGGCAAGTGATGGCCTCATATCTCATCAGTGAAAGGGGGATGAGCCTTTACCCTTTTGTTTTCAGCTGACAGCAGCTACAGGGGGCTGTAWGGAGGGGATGGTGACACCAGGCTGKCTGTGATGTCACCAGCACTCCTGGCCTTGCTGGGTTCAGGCTGGCCACCCTGAACACTTCACGCTGAACTGAGGACCATTGCAAAGCAGCCCTGTGTGATAGAAAGGTGATTTTTCCAGGCCTTTCTCCCCTCGTGCTGAACTGCTTATCAGCTCAGCCCATCGTGGCAGCGATGCCATCTCTGCGCTAATCTCATCGCAAACAAAGGAGGAGTAGCAGCTAAACTGAGCTCATATTAATTCCCCCTGCCCTGCCCTGCCCTGCTCAGCTTCAGGAAATACCTACTAGAATTGCCATTCTCGTTATCCAAACCATCCCTGGAAACAATAATTAGCTGACTTGCTCCTCTGCCAAGCGTGGCCACTCACCAGCCTGCTCTGGTGGCCCACAGGGTCCCCACAGTGCCWGCTCCCACCATGGCATGCACTGGAGGCTCCTGTGCCACCACAGCYCTGCACACTCCAGACTGCAGCTGGACCCTTCCCCCTGAAGTGCAGGGTGATTTCATCCAGAAACAAGGTGAGGATGGCCAGGCAGCTCTCTGAGTCACCTGTTTTGCCTTCTCATGTTCCTCTACCGTGCTGCACTTATTTTTGATGGGGTTGGATGGTGGCCAGGAGGTTGGGACGTGTTGGCATTCATGGTTTCATTTTTTTTCTGCATAACAAAGGTTTTGCTAAATGAGAAGGAATCAAACTTGGCACCAGCTTTCACCGTGTGTTTATGACAAGATAAAAGCAATTCTGGGCTGGCTGTGGTACCCACTGGACCTGAGGAGACAGCAATTCCCACTGAGGGGATGGACCCACACAGCCACGGTGTGCTCCCAGAGGATGAGGGGAGCTCTGCTGCTCTCAGTGACTCTGCTGGCCCTGCCCATGTGGAGCCCCAGGCCCAGGGAAGGCAGGGCTGTGCTTGGGGGAACAGTCCAGATCTGGTGTTGTGCACGGTGCAATGCTGCCGTCACTGACACCAAGACATCTCGTCCATCTGGGTGCTGGTTTGGACATGGAGTGGTGGAGGAGAACACACAAATATATGGCCCCGTCCACATATGGGGAAAAGCACAGTGTGGGACCTGGCCAGGGTGATACCCCAGTGCACAGACAAGCAGGAACACTTCCCACAGGGAAAGGTGGCTCTTGCAGAGGGGWGTGGACAGAAGGAGCAGTTGTGGAAACAAAAGACAGACATTCTTCTTTCCTTTTTTTAATATAGTTCTTCCCCAAAGCAGGACTAGCCCATTTTTGTCTCACTGCCAGCTGTTTTGTTCTTTTTTCCCCCAGGCTGGGCAGAGGGTGTGGACAGGAGGCAACAACCTTTTTTTTTTTTTTTTTTTTTTTTTTTTTTTTTTTTAATGACAGTTTTTCATGGGAAGATGTTCAGCTGCCTATGAGCAGGCTGAGGTTGGGAAATAAAGAGGACAACACCAAAAGTCCAAATACACAATATTTTATAAATTTATCATGCCCCAGCTTGGGAATTATGGGGATTAGTCATCATCCAGTGGAGTTGTTGGAACTGACTGTCCACATGGCCCTGAGCCTCCACAACAATATTGGCAGGTTCAGCTGATTAAAATTAATGCCYCAGAAGGTCTCTAAGGCTAATGCCCGTGGAATGTGCAGGTTTCTTTAAACTCTAGCCACTGGACATAAAAAGCTTTAGGTATTTCAACCTCAGTTATAGATTCAGGAATTTGTAAACATCCACAAGTCTTAATTTTCAGGTGAGGTTTCAGGGGTCAGCTTTTGGCTGGAGAGAAGCTTTCAGCAACCACTTGGAGAGTAAGGAATTTACAGCCCAAGGGGGCTCAGCCTCAGGCTTTCTGCTGGCTCTGTGGGAGGTTCTTTACTTACACAAGGTGTTTTCCATGCTCCTACCCTCTATGAGCCATAAGAGCCTTGGGCTGTCACAACTCCTGTCAGCCACTGCCCCCAAGCCTTGGTGCTTTCACTGCCACCAGCTCTTCCCCCTCTGTTGCTGCACCCCTGGCTGCAAAGTGCAGTGATTCCTCAAGGAAGGCATCGTTTCATCTGTGCTGTCCTGAACTATGACTGACTTGCCCTGGCTGAGACATGCAAGGGGCACAGAGCAGCTCCCCCTGCAGCAGCCAGGGGCAGGTGAACACCAAAACAAAACAAAGCTCCTTGGTAATAAAGATCCCCTGGCATGGAGTAAAACCATGCAGGGCTTCACTTTCTAAACCACATCCACACCCAAACTCTCACACACACACACACACACACACACACCTCTGTTGTTGTTTTAAATACTTTTAAATCCCATTACGTTTACGGGGAGTTTTCTTTTTTATTTTTTTCCTCGCTGTCATAAATCAACCCTGCTAATCCCACCCCACAAAGATGATTGTTAGGAAGGGCATGGCAGAGTGAACAAGGAACTAAGGCACGGTTCAACCTTCTCCATCTCCAGAAGGCTCCTGTTGTGGTGACAGAACTGGGGAATGTCTAACCCATGGCCAACACCTACATAGGTTGTGCTTCCCTTTGGTGGCCAAGCCTGGGCTGGAGGAGCTGGGAGCCATGAARTGTGCTCTAAAATGCACATCAGCTTTGTGCTCAGTGCTGTGACTGCGGGCACTGCCTCCCTGGGGAGCTGCTTCATGCTGGGACTCTGGGAAGCAGCAATTTCCAGAGGTCAAGAGAGGAAAACAACCCGAAGTAGGGAGGAAGAAAGAATGCATGTGCACCAGGTTGTCCCTGGGGCATATTTGACYAAGGAGGAGTGTATATATTCAGTATTGTTGTCAGCTTTCTTTTTGCAGGGATGCAGGTGCCCTGCAGGCACTCRGGATGTGACCCTGGCAGCCCTGGCAGATGCCAGGCCCTTACATCAAATCTAAGAGTTAAAATGCATTTCCCAGAAGCCTTGGTGGCAGCCTAACCCACTTCAAGAGACCCAAAAACCCCACACTGTACTTTGGTGAATATCCCAGAGCTCTGCCACTTGCTCCTGTGAGGCCACAAAGTGCCAGTGAACTTGGYACCCACCTCTGCTGTTCAGCACAAATACAAATTCACTTCTGAGCTAGACTTTGGCAGGGCAGAGAGCTGGAAAAACAAACAGGAAAATGCCTTTGGCTCACAGCATTCCCATTTCCTGGCTTCAGCCTGGCCCAGGCTGCCAGCAGGTCTCATCAGCAGAGCAGCAAGGTGAATGGCACAGCCCAGACAGTCCAGAATCTTCTCCCTTCTTGGGGATTTTGGGGCTGTGTTTGCACCAGAGCTGTTTCACCCGAGGTGTCTGTGGTCCTGCACAGATCCCACCTGCTCACCAAACTGCCCAAAGAGTGGCCAGGATAGCGATGTGACTGCACAGCTGGGTACAGAGCAAGGGAGATGGACAGGCAGCCAAAAACACACACATTCCACAGTGCTCCAGCATGGAGAGGGGCTGTGCTCCATGGCAGGAAACCCCAAAGGCACAGGTACCATCATGAAGCAGACCCCAAAATCCCTGATCTCTCTTAATATTTGACTGAAGAAAGACAGAGACAGGCCCAGATGTGTCCAGTTTATTTTCCCTGGATTTAGACACAGCTCTGCCTAACCACCACAGCAGCAAACAAACCATGTGCCAGCCCCTGCCCCTCCTTGCAGGAGAAGCAGCTGGTGGGATCCCTGTGAGGGCTGGGGCTGCAGCGAGGGGCAGGATGCCCTGGGAAGGGTTGGGGATGGCAGCACAGACCTGCAGGAAGGTGCAGCATTCCGAATCCAGCCTTGTATGAAGTGTGGTGCCCGTGGAAGGACATTGCAATGGGTGTCAGCTCTCCAAACTCAACASTGCCCTCCCCTTCCTCCCCRCAGCGTYTCCTGTGCTGAAAAAGGGRAGGGGGTGAAGCATTTACAGAAGARGCACTGGAGCAGGGAAGGGTCTCTGCAGGCAGAGGGGTCTCTGGGGTCTCTGGGCAGTTCTTTGGGGAGCCAGCAGCACMATCTCCTCAGCAGTTTGAGAGGAASGGAGGTGACAGKGGGAGCRGTGCACYCTGACCATCCAACTCCACGGCACTGTGACCTCCTCAGCTGCTTTCCAACTGGGACTTGGCAATTATGGCCACAAACTCTGGGTTCTACCAGCAGCAGACCATGCAAGAAGCTCAAAGGATGCAGTGTGAAGCAGCTTCCTTCATGTTTCTAGGCCATTATCAAGTGAAGGGACTGAACATGAGGGACAGACCATATTTCACCAGAGTCAGCTGCAAATCACAYTCCTTCATGCCCCTGCTCTGCAGCTGATTTCCAAAAGCTCTGCTCAGAATTAATGCCCAAACACCAGCTTTGCATGGCAACAGATATCTCCATTTTGCTAGGACTTTGGTTTTCCTTTGTTTCTTCCCCTGAAAAGCGTATTTCAAATGGTGAGGGTTGGTCATTGCTCCAGTTTTTGTGCTCCAGTTTCCCCTAGCAGCAAGGAGCAGGAAGACCAGTGCATGAGGACACCTGAGGCATTTCTCCAGCAGATGCTAGAGAAGCAGCTATTTTTGGTTGAGACATAAAAATARAAAAAAAAAATAGGTTCTCCAAGAGATAGAGYGAGCCTGAATGAGTCCTGAGAAGTGCTAGAGAAGAACAGGGWATGATGGAAGCAGGGTCAGCCCCACCAGGAGATGCTGGCACAGTGATGAGGGTTCCAGCAAAAACTGTGCTGAACAAAAAAAAAGACACTCCTGAAACTCCACAATCATATTAACCTGTTAATTTATACAGCATCTCTGTACAAAAATAGAAAGGTTCTAATAAGATTAACAATATTAAATAAATATTTAATAGAAAAAGTCTTTGGCCTAGTTCATAGYTCATCCTTTGGGTTGATGTTCATTTCACTGGGTCCTAGATGCTCCTGGTCCAACATTGCAATCACTTCATCTGCCTGGATTCGTTCCTGCAAGAGGGGAAGGGAAGAAATGGAAGAAAATCAGCTGATTCARTGAGGCTCAGGCTGCTGGCAGGACACACAGCAAGGATTTTACCCCCAGTGTAGGTGAGAGGATGGACGAAGTTCCAGGGCAAATTAATCAAATCCCTTTCCACCTCAATACCCAATTCCCTCCTCCCTGCAGGGCTGCARTGGCTGGGGCAGAGCTGATGCTCTTATCACACTCCACTAGCAGTACCACAGCACACCCTTCTCCTATCCCTTCTATTTGAGGCTGATTTCCACCTCCCTGGGCAGGGCTGATCTCCTACCATACAGGCACCAAGCCTGGAGGAACTTCTGCTGGTGCAAAAATACTGAGAGACATTAAAGTACGAGTCTGAAAAGAAGTTTTCCCCAAACCTCACAGCCCACCTGCATCACAAGGCAAAGACATGAGCATCTTGCACTCTCCCTGCATTTAGTTTTGCTTGGTCTTGTATCTTTTATTCTTATAGACCAGAATTGCTACCCAAGGGAGGCAGGGGCTTCTTAAAACAGAATCTGGAAGGTGCCTGGTGAAAGGCATCACAGCCCAGATGTTCCAAGGCATCTTGGGTCCATCTCATCTGTGGCTTTCAGGTTGCCAAAACGCGTATGGGAATTTAGCAGCAGGACTTAGCATAGCACTCAGAGCTGTGGATGGCTCTGGAGGAGCTCCCCATCCATCAGTAGTCAGAAATGGCCAGCCCAGCCCTGCACAGAGCCCTTCCACGCCCTACTCAGCACCCCAGCCCAGTACTGCACCCCACAGGCCCAGGGCAATGGTGCCCAGGAGCAGGGTTGGCAGGAAAAACCTATCCCAGGGCCACCATAGCTGATGCTGAATGGGAATGCTGGTGTGGGGGGCTGTAAAAATAAGATGGCCCTGGTTCCTGTGGGGTGCTGCACCCCCAGCTCCCCTCACACCCTGAAGAAGGACTCACCAGCTCTCTGTACAGAGGGTCCAGGGTGAACCAGAGCGCCACAGCGCAGCGYTGGCCCTTGGTGACCGCCTTCACCCCGTGGGGGTTCTCCCCGCCCGACGAGAAGCTGATCATCCTGCCACACTTGGGCTTGATGGAGGCCTGAGGGGAGACAGCAAAGCCACGGTGGCAAGGAGAGCCTGGGACCTCACTGGGCATCCCTCTGCATCACCCCAGGACCTGGAGAGCTGCTCTGAGGGTCACACAGAGCTCTGTCCATGGCTGGAAAATGTGTGGGGTGAATTGGGAGRGGTGAAGGTTGGTCCATGTGCAGACATCACACAGACAGGACACAGTGCTGTGGAGTCTGTGCAGAACTGCAGGTGACCACTGMGCAAAATGGGGCCATGGTTCACTCCGGGGAGGCCCAGGCTAAGCTGGCACAGCTGTGAACCCCCTCCTTCTTTATTTCTTTCTTTCTTTCTTCTCTTGGCAGAGTCCACAAGAGATACCCTGCAGGACCTCGGGAGCAGTAATGCCAACCAAATCAACCCTCAGGCACTCAGGCAGACACAATCTACCCTCTGCCACCTCCAGAGATCCCAGCACGGTGCCCAGACCTCTGCCCAACCACAGTGTTTCTTAATGGCTCCAAGCAGAGGTGAGGGCTCATGCCTGAGCCATGTCCCTCCCACCGTGACCAAGAGAGCTGGACCAGGCACTGCATCTCCATGGAGGCACCAGTTCAGATCTGACCATGAGATGGGGAGGCAGATCAGCAGTCCCCGAGGCAGGGACATCTGCCAGCCCTGTCTCTGGCTGCACTGGGGCTGGGGAGAACCCCTGATCTGCAGCATTCCTGCTTGGCACGGGCTCTAGGAAGGGAACAGACAGTCTGTGCACCATTTCAGCAGGGTTTGGTCCAGGCTCTTTGCAAGGCAGGAGCCACAGGCTGCCTGGRGAAGCCCAGAGCACTGAGAATGGATGCTGAGGAACAGCTCTGGGCCCACAGCACCCACTCACCGTGACAGTTTTGGCGTCCATCTCGGTGAAAATGAACTCRCCGCCTTCGAAATCCGCGTTCATGTACAGGAGGGCGCTGGGGGAGGAAGCACAAGRGCCACGTAAGGGGAGCTCTGGGGATGTCTCAAGGCTGACCCCACCTTCATTGCTCCAGAGACATGGTGGGGACAGCCAGAGGGACAGAACTCCCTCCCCCTTCCTCCCCACCTGTAATCCCGGAAGGTGTAGGCAGGAGGCTCCTTCCAGCACTCGTTGGCCTCGGGGTCCAAGAGGCAGTTGTCAGCATGGATGGGATGGCTCAGATCGTTCCTCCTCTCCTGCTGGCCTAGGCAGGACCATGTGGAGGGAGGGGGAAGGAGAAGGGGTGGATGAGATGGAAATGCCATACTCTGTGGGGTCTCACCACGGGATGGGAGCCTACCCTGACCCCACTACGGGTGGTGCTCACAGGTGAGAGGAGCAAAGGGATGGCTGGGGAGAAAAGGCAACATCTGAGCACTCAGAGGGTGTGCACAGCTCTGCCTGTTCCTTACTGCAGGGAAGCRAGATGGAGAGCTGGGGGGTGGCGTGGAGAGGAGAAGGGACAGTGAGGGGAGGCAAGAGAAGAGAGAGGAGAAAACAGGAACAGTGGCAGACATGAAAATCAAGAGACATCCCAAAAACGAGATCCTTTGGGACAGCAGTGCCCATCCCGTGCTGCTGAGGGGATGCTGACTCTGCCTCCAGTTTAAACACAAAGCAAAACAGAGCTCCCTGAGCTTGGGACCCCCACTCATAAACCCCCCAGGGAGGGCTGAATCCCCCCTGTTCCCCCACTCCACTGCTGGCCCCACTCCTCACCGGACAGGGCGGTGCGGCACACCAGGTGTGTGTAGGAGAAGTAGAGCGTGGAGTTGAGCTGGAAGTAGGACTGGACGATCCTGCGAGCCTTCTCGCTGATGTCGTAGAACAGGCGGGCACTCTTCAGCGGGACACGGCCCTCGTAGCCATACTGGGCAGGGAGAGGGGCAGGAGGGGTCAGGGTCAGGGGCAGGGGCAGGAGCAGGGTCACACCAGGAGGGAGGGCATGGGACAGGAGGAGGGAGCTGTACCTTGAGGGCTTTGAGGACTGTGGCTCCTTCAAATCTCTCATTGGGGGTGTGGGGGGAGGTTTTGCCCCGGTAACCATCTCCAGCCAACATGATCCCCTGGAAGAGATTAACACGGATGAGGGGAGAACTGGTTCACCAGGAGAGAGGGATCTGTAATGCAAGCACATGGCACCCTCTTCCCAAAAAMCCCAGGGCTGCATTCCCAGGGCCAGGGGGATTGGAGGGAAGGTGCTGCAGCTCTCAGTGAACACAGATTCCCTAAGTGGGAATGTTCAGGCACCCTCAGTCCCTTCCCAGGCTCAGTCAATGGTGAATGAGAAGATCACCAGACCTGTGCATGAGCATCCTCTGGGGCTGTACACAGCACTCTGTGTGGCAGGGCGCTCACARAACAGCCCAGGATGGAGCAGCAGCCCCTGTGCTGTGGGGATGAGCACCCAGCTACTCTCCCAGAGCAAGGCACAAACACAAAGCTCTCCAGATCACACTTTCAGCTGTCACGAGCTCAGCCCAGGCCGCTGCTACTCACGCTGGCCACCCTGTGCAGCTCACGGCACTGCTCCTCTGAGATGACGTTGTCCAGCAGCACTCGCTGCGTGCCGTTCAGCTGCTCCGAGTTGTAGACAAACTTCACGTCGCTGTAGAGAAGAGGGCCCCCTGAGGAGAGACATGAAAGCGTGCTGCTGAACGTGCCCTGGCCTCATTGATGTCTTGTACAGTGACTGCAGGCCAGCTGAAGTCACCCAGGTGAGCTGCAGGCAAAGAGCTCCAGAGCAGAGAGCAGAGTTTGGGCTCAGGTCAGAAACGAGAGACAGGAGCAATGGGAACACATGGAGATGGAATCAGTTTGCTGCAGGAGCATCAGCATTTTGTACCTTCTCAAGAGCTGCCTTGCAAAGGTGGGGACACAGCCTGAAAACACCAGAGCCCAATGGAAACAGGAGGGACATACACAGGGGCTGATCCAGCTCTGCTGCCCAGCTGTCAGCACCATCAGGGCTGTGGGTTCCCACTGCATTTGTGCTGYGTGGATCCTGCTGGTTTGGCACACAGAGCTGCTCTCTGCATCTGCCATCAGCAGGTTTCTGTCTTTACACACAGAGAAAACCTCACATGGTGCTGATCTGCATCACATCACCCTCCAAGAGCAGGGGCAGGGTGGGTGAGCCAGAGCACCCTGAGGACAATCCTCCAGTGAGGCAAAGAACTGCCACAGCTGTCCCTGATACCCCTCACATCCTGCCTCACAGCTGCCTCCCTCTGCCCACAAGCTTTTCAGAGGTTTCAATCCATCCCCATCAAATGTGACTGATCAAAAAACCAGCAAGGCCCCTAAACCACCATCTTCTGAAGCCTCTTCCTCGCATCTCATCAAAGAGAGAAAAGAAAAAAAGTGGTAACAATAAAAGCCTAAACCAGATGTTTCTCCAGGAGAAAAGTGAAATATAKCTAAACTGTGGGGGAAATGATCTGTTTGCACAGACAGGCAGTGAAAYAGAGGAAACAGAGCCAAAGAGTTCCTCTCACCATGTGGCACAAAGAAACTTCCTGTGATACCACTTCTATAATTTTTACTTTTCCCTTCTATTGAGGCACACTGTGTGTTTTTGGAAGGTCTCCTTAGCMTATGGATGACACACAACCCCCACAGAGCCCTGTCATGAGCCCACAGCTTTATTTCYCAAGAGTTAGGTTTCTTGGAATGGAGAAGATGGGACATTTCTGATGTTCACTGTGCGGATTTTGCTGCTTGATAACTGCACGTATTGCAAACGCAGCTGGATCAGAAACAGGACTCTCAAATCCAAACTGCTGGCAGGCTCCAGCTCGGGGCTGAGTGTTCCAGCTCATGGATGTTGCTCTTCCCAGCCACAGGCACTTGAGGGATGACTGAAAGGCTTCACTCACCACTTGCACCATTTCTTCTGCTCCTCACAGGGAATTAGTGAGGGTGCCCCTGTGCCATGGACATGGAACCCTTGTCCCACACCCACAGTGTGCTCCCACCTGCCTCTGCCTCCTCTAAACACCAGCAAAGAGCCCTGATTCCTGCATCTGTGCTCTGTGAAAAACACCCCAAAGAAATTGAGCAATTCCTTGGATTTTTGGGAGTGAAGGAATTGGCAGGAAGGAGAAAGGGGGGAAGGGTAGAAGTAGAGAAGAGTACAAAATTAAAATAGACTTTTTTCTTTTGGCCTTTTCTTTTTCTAAGTAAAGAGAGAGAAAGAATAAAAGCCAACAGAGAAAGGCAGCAGCTGGATGGACAAAAATCCCATTTTCTTTCTGAATGGYTTCAGTTTTCTCTGTAAACAAAAACATTCCACAAGTAAACCAGAATAAGAGCACAGAAAGGAATAAAAACAGAAGGAAGGACTCTGAAATTACTCTGTTATAGATGGCAAACAGGCCAACAAATATAATTCAACCAGCTCTTGGCTTAAGCAAAATCTTTGGGATCCTCCTGTGATGTTTGCCTATTTTATGTATGGCTAGAGAAGGGATAACAATACTCTGAGCACAACACTGGGCAGCTGGACACAACTTGGGCTAGGGGAAGCWATGAAATTCCCCAAAAAGTGCTACCACCCATTGGATTACAGGGAGGTTTAATTGCCTGCTGCTGTGGAGCTGGCTCACCAGAGACAAGAGACACCTCCTGGCTTGAGACCCTGTTGTTTTGCAGCAAGGACTCTGCTTTGGTGCTTGGCTACAATATTGTTTTTCAAAATCATTAAGGGGAAAAATCCTGTCATTAGTGGATGTTATGGTATTTTCTGTGGTTGCYGAAAATGTGCTGAAATCAGTTGAAATGTCTGCTGACAGGCTTGTAAACAAGTGATTTCATGTGAGCTAAGTCATGAAATCATAAGCCTGTCTGCAGAGAGAAGTGGCTGCTGATATGGTGTGATCCAGCACATTTAGCAAAGCTTCCAGCACCCATCCTTCTGCAGCCTGGACAACACTTGATCCTTAAAGCAGCTGGGGAAAAACTCCTGTTTGCTGGTATCACTTTCCCCACAGTGAGGAGGACCCAGGTTCCCAGCTCCACACCTCAGGGCTCCCTCCTGAGCAGCTCAGCAGGTGGGAAAAACAAATCCAAGGGCAAAGCAGTGCCCTGGGATCCACAGACCCAGAAATGCTGTGGCAGCACTCAACATTTCGCTGTCTCTTAAACAAAAYTTGAACTCCCTTAAATAGGAGTGGCTCTCATTGCTCAGTGGCCAGCTTGTGCAGTCTGAAGTCTCTAGCAATAGGGAAAAAAAAATCCCAATTTTGCTGAAACATCTTCATCAGACTTACCCTCCTTCAGCTCTCGATCTGGCTTTGGCATGGGTTTCTTTGTCAGGGACAGCCGGGGCCCATCCTCTGGYTCACTGCTGATACTCGAGGGGACACTGAGGAGCAAGAGGGAAGAGGAACATCATGACTTTGRCCACAAAGTTCCTGGACTTGCACTTTGCACCCTTTGGAAGCCACAAAAACTCCAAGCAAATCAGTACTTTGTACAAATGTCACACAAGCTGAAGCCCTCACCCTGTCCCATGGCAAACATTGCTTTTCTGGTAACAGGAGAAACAGTTTCCACCAGCRAAGCACAGACACGGACAAATCTGACATCACCACTGCCCCATCAATCAAGCTCCCTCCAGATCATTGGTTTTGAGGCACTCAGCTAAAGTAAGGTCCTTTGTGGGAGTGTTTGCAATGGTAAGGGGCAAAGGGCTCTAATTSCACCATGATGGTGTGCTGGGTGGATGGGCAGTTCCCCTGAGTGKCAGGTTCATACCCCATCATGAGCACATCCCCTTGATCCCATTGTGGGATGGGGGAAGCTGCAGCTCGGGGTGATTGTGGCTCACCTGTGCTCGTCCTGGCGGGCGCCGTACCTGTTCCAGTAGTTCTGTGGGCAAAGGGAGAGSATAAAATTCCTAATTCAGTGCTGCAGCCAAAGCCAGGCATTACCCGCTCTGCCTGGCTCCTGGGGACACCAGCCACCCCACATAACTTTGGGCAACAGCCTGAGGTCACAGATTGAAAATGTGAACCCAAAGAGGCACAGTGTGATGAGTTCCTAGCAAGCCCAGCTTGCCCAGCCTTCTGTCCCTCACCCCATCCCCACGGCAGTGCCTGAGRCTCAGACACCACAGCAGCAGAGCTGGACAAGGCTGTCTGTGCCTCTCCTTCACCCCAGAAATGCCTCCTTTGCTCTGCCCATCACTATTTTCCCATGGGGAACAAACCAAGCCAAGAGCCAGCTCCTGAGGCACCTCCACAGGACTGGCTTTATGGGAGAGGGCAGGGGGCAGTGATCCTACAGCTGTGAGCTCCTGAAGGGGCTGGAAGGACACCSAGGCATTACCGGCTCCGTGTAGGCGTATCCCAGACCGGCCGCAGCCACCTGCAGGAGATGGGATTCCAGCTTGTGGCGCCGCAGCAGCCTCCTTGCTTCCTGGAAAGACAAGGAAAACATGAGCAATTGCACATGGAAAGCTTCTGCAAGGCAGTGGCAATGCCCCTCWGCTTCAGAGGGGTTTGGTTTTCACGCAATGAAGACTCCTGTGGGGTGAGGGATGCTCGGAGCAGCCCCAGCCCCAAGGCTGAACCACTCCATGCATGGCAAAAAGTGTTCAGCAACTCCTTTGGGGGGCTGGATCCCCAAAACACATGTCCATAGCTGGCAGAAATGGCTGAGCACCTTGGAGAGGCTCCAAATATCGGGGCAAAAGGCAGTCAGAGATGGCCCAGGTGCAGGACAGGGGCAGGGGCAGGCTGGAGGGGCAGGGACCCTGGCTGGGCTGTGCCTCAGTTCCCCACATGGAGCCCATGGGCTGGCCCTGGGATGCACTCAGAGTGCTTGGATGGGGACCACACAGCATGGCCAGCTGGAAACTGTCCATCAGAGGACTTTATTTTGAATGAAAAATTTGTCAACAAAATACTATGACTTCTCCTAGAAAATYACTTTGCAAAGCAAAAATCAATTCATTTTTTACAGAAAACTTCAAAACACTGTAAACAATTACATGTTTTTGTCAACTTTGGGTTTTTTCCTAGATCCATTTTGTGAGGTAAAACTACAATTATTCTGGTTTGCCTTTTTATCATTTCACTTTTATTTTTCAKTGCTTCCACCTTGATTTGCCTGGAAGCCAAGGAATTCCCAAAGGAGTGGAAAAAACAGTTCCTGCCAACACTCTGCTTATGGTGCAAGGGGAATGRGCAGGGCTGTGGTGGGATGGGAGGAAGTTCTGCACTTTGAGGAAGGCAGCCCAGGGCCACAGATAAAGGCTGCCCAGAGCAGAGAGGAAGCCTGTCCTGCTGGGTGATGGAACACACACTGTTTGGTTTTTTGACCCCAGCCTAACTCTGGGACAGCAAAGCTATTCTCTGCAGACCAGGCTGAGCCCTGAACTCCAAGCCAAGAGCCTTGAGAGCAATGCTGAGATCTCAGCCTCCCCTGGGAAAATATTTTTCATCCCTCCCTGAAGAGACGCTGCCCTTTGCTCAGTGTTTCACTGCACTGCCTCTCTGCGTGTCCTCTGGAGCTCTGGACAAGAGGAGGGTTCACACCTGCCTGGTCATTGCCCTCCCTGCTCTTGCTCAGGCTCTCCTAATCTGAAATCCCCTTTTAAAGCASACCCTGCCCTCCAGCTTCTCCCCCAGAGCAGTGACTCTGAACCTGCACCCTGAACATCACCACCTCAGCAYCTCCAGCGAGCCCAGCACTTCCACTGCTCTTCTCAAAGTGCTCCCACCGGGGGAAAGCTGCCAAGCTGCTTTTATTTCCAGCAGATGCTTTTGTTAAAATGTCCCAACCAAGAGCTCTCAGGAGTCACTGTCTCTCACCTTTCTGGGTTTGATGGTGGCTGGATCCAGCGTGCCTTCCAAGAGACCCTCGTAATAAGCTGCGTTCTCCAGGACATCATCATCGTCGGGGTGGAAGAGCAGGTAGGACTTGGCACACTCCAGGGCTTTGACATGGTCACCGACTGGGGGACAACACAACAGTGGTCAGGGGGGCACAGGGGGGACTCTGCAGTGAGGGAGGCACAGCTTGAGCTCCCCAGCACTTCACAAGGCTCTTCTGACTGCACTTTGTCTTAACTCCATTTCAGCAGCAAGGAGACTGAGGCACAGACACAAAACTTTTCTGCCATCGTGCCCAGATCCAAACTGCATATCCAAATTTGGGATCCAAACTGCTTCTGACTGAACAGGCAGGGTGTGGATATTGCCTAGCATCAAACTGCTTCTCATCTGTGCAGCATCTCTCAGGGCCCAGGGGGGTTTTACCCACCACATTAAACCTCTAACTGGGCAGAGGAATGAAGAAGCCTGTGAAGACACCACACATGAAATGCTGCTGACTCCTCCTGCTTTCTTCCCATTGTGTTGATGAATGAAGAATCATTATGTCTGAGCAGAAATTTYGACCCTCAAGCAGTCTGTCCTTTTCAGGAAAGAGTTCTTTGCAGAAGCCAGAGAGAGCAGATTTCTGCGGATTCCTATTTTCTTTTATGTAACAGAACATAATAAAATAGTACACAGAGACACACAACTGGCATTATTTTTTAGCACTGCCGATTCCTGATGTTTTGTCATGCTCCAGCTTCTACAGCTTTATTGTGAGCCTTAAAATATTTGGTAATTAGCAAAAATTTGCATCTTGGGATAAGCTTAAGCTAACTTATACATCTGTTTTGTATTAATATAGAAAACGTACCAGTTCATTTAAGAAAATATTAAACATATAAATCCCTAGAATCTTGATGTCAAAAGGCAAATGAAAAGACCCTAAAAAAGCATGATTTATTTAAAGAATAGTAATATTTAAGCTAAAGGTTGGGCTTTTAAAATCTAATGACCTAAATGATGATCTAAATAATCATCTAAATTATGATCTATATTTAAACTGATGATCTAAAAACACCTTCACGAAAACAACTTCATCATATTTCAGTCATCCTAACTTTTGAAGAGACAATTTCCAGTGATGTCCTTCCCACCTCTTTCACACCACACCTCAGCATCACAGTAGTGTGAACAGCAGAGGGAAATAGCCTTACTCCCACAAGGAACAATTCAAACTGGAACAAAAGGAGCAGAACTCAGCAGGTRCTGTGAGGAGCAGCACAAGAGCCTTTACCTCGGTAGTAGGCAAACTGCAGATAGTCATAGTGGAGGGGAAGGAAATTTTCGATGGGYGAGATGCGGCCCGAACGCGTGGCGAGCTCTCGGACACAGTCGTGTTTGCAGAGCAGCACCTGCATGTAGTGATCTGCCAAGRAAACAGGGAGAAGGTGAGAAGGAGCTCATCTCAGAGCTGAGAAGGATGGTGRTGGTGCTGAAACAAGGACAGACCGAGGCTAAAACAGCTGAGCTGAAGGATGTGCATCTCACACGGCTCTGGTCCAGCAGGTGACGGCACTGGAGAAACAGCTCAGGCTCCTCCCCAAAGCCAATGGAGAATTGCAGTCACATTTTTGCCCCMTTTGAGAAACGCCTTCCTCCTTCTGTCAACTGTAGAGGGAGCTTGAACACCTCTTTTGCGTGGCCGGAGCTGTGCTTTCTGCCCAGGGATGCTGCAGCTGGCAGGTGGCACCTCAACCCCGAGAGACAAACCCACAGGGCAAGCAGAGATGTGGAGACAAGGTGGCCACATGTGCTGCCGCATGAAATCCATCTCCAGACTCCCTTCCTTCAGCTCACCTTTAATCCTCTCCTTTCTGCAGCGAGAGAGCTCCTGTGAGGGCATGGGCAGGTTTAGCTAAGAGAGGTTGATCTGAAAGCTCTGAGGTGCAAATAGGACAGCAGAAATCCCCATGTTTGCTGCCTCTCAAACGTGGGGTACCTCCCAGGGAATCACAAGCACATGGTAAACATCTGYCATTAACAAAGTTTCTTAATTGGTGAGAGCCCACAGTACAGGCATAGTACCAGCTGTGCAATTTCAAAGCCAACACTGACATCTGATTCCATTTTGGAGCCTTTGCTGCAATGTCCTTACCAATCTACTTTGCTTGTTCTGTCTCTGCACACAATTAAAAACCTTATGGAACAAACACAGGCTTGAAAATAACCCTGTGCTCAGCTACCAAAGCATTTCTTAGAGCTGCCATAAAAACCGCCTGAGGAATTTGCAATGAAATCAAGTGGAAACTCAGAATTGTTTCTGAGCCCATTTGCTCCTGACAGGGAGTCTGAGTAGTTATCTGACTTAACACGTACATCCAGGGTACTACATTCAGAAAAGCAAGAAGGGAAAGGACATAAAACATAGAGCTGTAATTCAAACCTGTGTAAGCATCCTATATCTGAAATAATCAATCCATCAATGAGAAGCATTTCTTTTTCATGGTTCTGTCAAAGTGCCCTAGAAACKGGCCATATAGACTGGAATCAATTCACTGAAATGCATCTGTCCCTGTGGGGACATGGTGAAAGTGTTTCAACCCCAAGCAGCAGCACAGCAAATCAGTTTGGGATTGAAAGGAGAAATGAGTCTTGAAGAAACCTGAATTCTCTTTTCTTGGTGTATTAAGTGTTGCCACTCTCTGTTGAAACATCTGGGCCTGAGTGCCCTGGACCAGGGGTGAACTTTGAATTATCCTGTCCTGGAAGGAACCAGCTCACTCCCTTCAGAAAAGCAGCTGTATCACATATCCTATTTCCTTCCACGTGCCCTCAGCTCTCTGTTTTGTCGGGTACTGAATGCTCCAGGGGTTTGGAGTTGYTATTCCAGGCAGCCCTGGCCAAGCCACGGCTCCTGCAGAGCCCATCCTGTCCCTCCCAGGGGATGTCCTGGCTCGAGCAGCACCACACCACMACCCTGTCTGTGCCCAGGATRGTCCTGCCCTGAAACACCTYTGCTCYCTGGGCTGCACTCGACTCTCACAGCACAGGAACAGCTTGTCCTGCTTGAAGAGCAGCAGGTTTCAGTGAGAAGGATGCTGGGTTTGCTCTGCAGGCTGCTCTCTTGGTGTGGCCCCCAATATCCTCCTGGTCAAGGCTCTAAAATCAGGCCTGGTCAGCTGACAGCCAYGCTGGTACCAAGTCAGCCCTTCCAACATTTCTATTTTTCGCATGGCTAAACAAACCCAGCAAAGGCAGCTTCCCATCCGGTATGCTGGTGGTTTCTCCTCTTGGTTGTTTCAATTAGATTTCCTGTCTCGACACAAACAGAATTATGCAAACCCAAAAAGCAGTCTGCATCTGAGCGAAGTATTTTCCACACAAGAAGCAAGATTCCAGGGCTTGATGTGACTCCAAGGCCATAAGCAAGATAAATAAGATTTCTGTCACCAAACAARCCTTAATTTATTGCTCTTCCTTCCCTTACGACTAATTAAATATAATCTCATTTCTACTGAGAATGAACTGTTTTAATCCCCTCTGGCTCAGAGCCACACATGCAAATCTGAAGATTACACAGCAATGTTCAATCCTCTCCAGAGATTTCAGTCAAGATCATAATTAGCTGGGCCTCCACTAATGACAAATCCATCCTTTTGGATGGGGAGAAAATCCACATTACGAGCCTTTTTGGCAACTTTCCTGGCCACCTGGAGCATGGCCAAGAGGACTCTGCTGCTCTCTTCATATGGTTTCAGAAAGAGAAAACATAAACAAAGACCAGCAATGTCTGGATTCCAGGAAGGTGTGCGAGACTCTGTACAGGGCAAACGGAAGCAGTTCACGATAAAGCACCTAAACTTCCAGCTCTAACAGAAAGCTGCAAATGCTCCACACATCTGGAAAAATGCAATTCTTCTAGCCCAGCTTCCATTCAGCACCAAAATGAGGTGTTCTAGTTCACTGTCCTCTGAGTTTGCACCTTCTGGGCTCCCACGTGCCTCCTGCAGCGTTACTCACCAGCAACAGAGACAGAAGGGGAGACACTGCACCAAATCCAAAGGCCMAAACTCAGTAATTAAAAACATTTCAGGGCCAAAGGTCAGAGCTCTCTAAATGCAAAAGGATCTCACCTGCAATAGCTTCRTAGAGACCAGCCTTGTAATCCAGGTACTCGTGCTCCTCAAATCTCTGCGGTCCCTCGCACATGATCTGGCAATCCTCATCCTCGGAGTAGTATCCCTTCAAGGCACGCTCCAAAAATTCAATGGCCAGCTCGTACTCCTCCTTGTCGTAGTGCCTCACCCCAGCACTGTAATCCTCCTGCAGAGGAGCAGGCAGAACACAAACCATGGGCACAGCATCCTGCCCTCGCCACCCCCAAGGAAGGGACAGGGACAGGGACAGGACAATCACCCCAAACACCAACCAGATATAACTGCTTGTACCAAACCATGTTAGCCATCAATGGACTTTGGAACATAATAAACCTACCGAAATGCTCTTCTGAACTTCTCCATACTTAGGGAATCCTCAGTGCCATTCCTAGATTATGCATTACATTTAAAAAAATGCCTTTTTTTTTGTTTGTTTTTTGTTTTTACCCTCTCACCAAACAACTGAATGCCAAGGGAACAGATTGGCCCTGACCTAGGAGGATCTGTCCTAGAATGGCCCCTAATGAGCACCTCCATTAATTACACCAAACAGCCACTCCTGGTTCCTCGAGTCTTGTGAAATTGGGAAGTTGGGGTGGCCCTGGCATTTGTCTTGGGCTTTTGCTTTGGGGAGGTGGGAAAATCTGACACTCTCCTGCCTGCTACCCAACACCCTCACCAGCACAGCCACTCCAGTGTGTGTTCCCTGCTCAGGTGGGAGAACTCAGCTCAGAGGAAACACACAGGAGCCAGGATCTGTCAGGGTGGCATTCATCAAAGCTGTTCATGAGAAGCAAGGAGCAGGCTTGCCTTAAGACAAAATKCTGGAAGGGAGAGTTTGTTTTGCTGTATTGGTAAGAATCTCCCAATTCATAAATTAATCTCTCTATGCCTTCTAAATCTCTCCTCTCCAGACTGCCTGATATTTAATCTGGGCACTCTTCAGCTCAGACTCACCATGTGCTGCCTGGCCTCCCGGTCAATCAAGCTGACCTTCCCTGCCGTGCTCTTGTAGTTCTCAAGGTCCTGCTGTATCTCCATGTGCTCAGGGTTGGCCATGAAGAAGGTGTGAGCTGCGTTTGCTGCCTCCTCCAGCTTGTTCAGCTGTAACCAAGGTAAGAAAGACCAAGTGAGGCTGGTGATGCAGGAAGATGAACACAGCAGCTTGTGCTGCATCCTCTGACACCCTTTTGACACCACTGGACTGGGAAATGCTGGGCTGACCAAGGAAAACCTGAATGCAGAGCCTAAAGGAAACAGCTGAATTGAGAGGAAAGCCCCATGTAAGTGAAATGGAAAGAGCTGGAGCTCCTGAGAGCCAGACCAGGCCTCTGAAACGTGGTCTGGTGGTGATGGATCCAGCCTGATTTCCAGCAGCACATCCTCTCAACTCRGCTCCTCCAACCCCCTGCACCATCCCAGGTGGAAAGATRCCCTCATGAGATATGRGATGGAGAGAGGAGAGGAAARCAGCTGCTGAGTGCTCTCCCTAAAAGCCTTGGAGGCTGAGCTATGTCCAGGCTGAGGGCATCTCCTTGGAGATGGGGACCATTTATTCAGCTCAGGTGTGTACAGCTGCAAAAGGCCAGACACTGCTGATAGTGGCAGAGCTACAAAGAGAAGTCTATTTTGGTATATCMATTTATTTTGGGTTTAGAGACTCAGAACTGAGACCAGACATTAGTTTCACCCAGGAGAAAGCCTCATAAACAAACACACACAACAGTTAGTGCTAAACMCATCCACAGCAGCTGCTGAGAGCATGGGGAGCAGAACAGATGTTCAGGTGAACATCTGCATGAGCCAGCAGGACAGAAGTCACTAATGCAGCTGCCTCCGAAAGAAAGCAACAGTCCTGAGTACCAGCAAGCTGCAGCCAGGTCCCCAGGACACATCTGCAGCCTGGCCCAGGGCTGCCAGCCAGGACCAGGCTAAAGCCAGCCCTGGCTAGGCTGTGTCCAAGTGTTCTCCTGACAGAAAAACCCACACCAAGCCCTGTGCCACTGCACAAACCTGCACAGGCACTCAGCAGGCAAATCCCCCCAGCAGAATGAGAGACCTGCAGGGCTCCACACCCTGCCAGCCTGCAGGGCAGACAGGCTCCAGGGCACAGCTAGCCCAAGAAGAACCCAGGAATATCCCCAAAAGGGAGGAGAGAGCCATGGCATCCCAGCCTGTGCTCCCCAGGTCTGCACACCAAAGCACAGCTGTGCTGCAGTGCCCACAGAAACGCAAAAAATTTGCCTTGTGTAAACTTCAGAAGTTTTTGAGGATTATCTCAGTACTGACAGCRTGTGCAGAAAAGCCAGATTTTACTGCAAAAACAACATCTATTCCAGTCTTAATTTGGAGTTTTCCAAAGGACACCGCTCTCCATAATAACCCCTTGGCTTTCCAGCAGGCATGAAAAATGACAGTAAGAAATTTTTATCTGGGACAGCACATAAAATAACAAAACCCCTTCAGTGTAGAAGTAATTTTTTTTTTTAAAAGAGACATTCCTATTCAGAAACATATGTTCCATTTTAAAATAGATCATTTCAACATAATCCCACTCTGGAAAAGTTCACTGCAGCTGGACACCATCAGGTATGGGATAAAGGACTGACCAGAGCATCTCACAGTGGGAATTCTCAGGTCCTGATGAGTGTTTGTGGCAATGCTACTGCAGTTGGACAGTTGAGATGGAACAAGAGGTTTGCTGGAGATGCACRAGTTGCTGACCTGACCCAGAGGACTCCCAAGAAGCCACTATTTGAGCTGATTGGGGGAATTCTGTTCCTTCACACCACACCACAGATTTCTATTCATGAAAAGGACCCTGTCTGTGCAGATTTAAGAGGGGCTGAAGGCATCTCAGCAGAGGAAGTGGTCCCTCAASACACAACCTGCAACAGTCTGTTGTGGGATGTTCTTTCTCCCCTTAGTTCTAGCTCCKCTTCAGGAAGCTGTCAAAAACTGTCACAGATCCCAGGATGGGCTTAGTTCTTCTGGATAACAGCCACCCCTGATTTCTAGACAACAGAAAATCCCTTTCAAACAAGGCTCACACTGTGTCTAGCCCTGCTGGCTCTTCACAGCAGAGTTGACCTTWGGAGTTTGCTAAGTGGACTCAAAGCACAACATTTCAACTCAACGCTTTTCAATTTATCATGTCCCACATTCGCCTTAGAAGCATTCAAGTAACACAAAGAAGCCAACAGCTGCTAAGTTTGGGGGAGTTTTTTAAGTGGGTGAGTGTATATAAAAGCRAAATTCCTAACTGGTAAGACACGTTCAGAGTCGAGCTCTGACATTCGTTATGAAACACTCTGGGTAAACTTTTGCCAAAACACTCTGAATTCTCAAGGAGCAGGATATTTTGGTGCTTAAAGGTCTGGGCTGGGACTCAGGACACCTGGACTCAGTTCCTGGCCCTGTCACAATCTCACTGTGCAGCCATTGGAAAAAACAAATTTTGTTTTCTTTGTGCTTGATTTTCCATTGTTTTTAACTAGTAACAATAAAAATAATAGCATTTCTCCCACAGAGTAGTAATTTTGTTTATTTGGATGGCAGGCAACTTGGGGGCCATAAGCATGTGCAAGCACGTAACACAAGGAGATTTAGATCTTTGTACAACAACTGCTGCATGAAAATCAACAAGGAAAAAATGACAAATGCAGACTCACAACCTCAGTATGTGCTCTAAGGTCTGCTTGCTCACCCCACTGGAATGAGATCGCTGGACTGTTGCTGCAGYTTTGCACCAAATCCTGTGTATTTCAGCCAGAGAAGACACGTGAAATCAGAGCATCAGCACTGAGAGAGCCCTGGGAACACCCTGCCCTGTCCTTTTGGACTTTAACATGTCAACAGCTAGAGCTGAGAAAGGGGAAAACTCAACACAGAAGTGCTGCTGGGTTCTGATGCTGGAAGGTGTTTATTTTCCTCACTGAGATTTAGGAGTGGTTCATTTCGCAGAAAAACAGGAAAAAATATTTTAAGGAGCAGAACCTCAGATGAAAGAATTTCAGCAAACTGCAAATGCTCGGGTTCACTCCCATGTGGGACAGCACTGCTGGCCTGGGCTTCAGTGGGATTGTGGCTTCCAGCCTGCAGTGGTGGATTGGATTAGGAAGGCTGCTCTAACTGGAGCATTGTGCAGGAATAAACAGGCTGGATGAAGGACCTGGARTGAGCATCTTGAGCGTCACTAAACAACTGAGCCCAATTCTCACTGATAACCATTGAGAAAATCCCTTATAGAGCCTTCATGGTGGCACACAGCGTAACACTAAGAGGACCTCAGTAGCTCATTGTCATTCTGGTAGCTGCCAAGATAAGCTTAAGGAACAAACTGTCTCACTGAAACACCTCTAACTTGTKGCTTGACTTTACTCCCACTTTGGCTGCTCTGTCCCTCCAAGAGACAAACGAATTCTGAGCAAAGCCCCTCCTGTGCCAGACACTCAGCAAGCTGGCACAACCCCCTGATCCCTTCCCTGGGGGAAAGGCCTGACAGCAGAACCATGGCATTGGCTACAATGACCCCAAACTCGCAGCCCTTTGAGTTTGCTCTCTGGAGCTCGGCAGTGGGGACAAGAGGGTGGAACAGGAGGGTGCCAGGTCTGTGAGATGAACAATGCACAGCTTTACAGTCAGCTCATGCAGCCAGGGCTGCCCTCCCACCACCTCTCTGCTCGTGTTCAACAYTGACACCCTGCAGTTTATGGGGTGCAGCAGCTGTAGACAGAGCAACTGTGGGTGCTCAGCTGATCCCAGCTCACCCTGARCTTTTCATGGCAAAAGCAACAATGAAAGAGGTGCATAAGTCACAGGATTTTAGAGAGGATATAAACAAAGCAATACCAATTCTGACTGCCTGAGCCAAGGGGTCACAGGTACAATATAATAAAGACCACAGACTAATTTTCATATTGAGTTCCCCTTGCATTGAATATARTATCAGATATTGGCAGCTGTCATGCATTCTGTGTCACTGTCCTCATTCAACTTACTTCTAGATCAAGATACCTTCATCACATATAACATAGTTTGAATTAAAACTTTTTTTTTTTTTTTGGAGGGGAAGAGAAGTAAGGTTTATCTACTGGAAATTTTTTTTTTGGAGGGGAAGAGAAGTAAGGTTTATCTACTGGAAAATACGTCAGACCCTTCACCATTGCTTGCCTATGCCAGGACTGGACCTACCTGCACATAACCTCAGTTAATTGCAGAGTGCACGAGCTTGGCATGGAGCTCATGAGGAAAAATTTCAAACCATTCAGCTGACCTAGAAACCAAAGCCTCCAACCTCGCAGACAATCCCTGGTTTGCTGAACAGATAATGTTTTTCTAAACTTTTCCATAGCTCCACTGCTCCTGTGTTGTATTGAAGGCTTAGCACGCTGGGCTCTGCAGAGCAAAGAGGCTCTGGAGCCTGCAAGCACAACAAGGGAAATAAAAGGTTCAGTGTCATGAAGGATTAATCTCGYTGTGTCTGTGCAGAGCTTACTGCCCATGGAGTAAGAGCAAGCAGCRGTGAGATGGCTATAAATAGCATGTGACCTCGCCTCAACTATTTTATTATTGCAAATCAGAGAAAGAAATCCTCCAGAGAAGTTAATCAGGAGTTTTTGCCTCTGCTGATGGGTCACACATTCACAGAAWGGTGTTTGAGCTGTTTGCAGCCCCYCATGGCACCTGCTGGCCCCACAGAATCACCAAAATCAGAGAGCAAGGCAGAAAAGGACCTCAGCCAAGTGCAGGAATCAGGTACCAAGAGCCAAAGGTGCGAGGCAGCCTCCAGGCTCAGAATCGCACCATCCCCTCCCTCCAAACCTTTTAYCAATTTCTTGTCCTCCAACTCAAGATAAACAGGGCTGGCTCCCATCCCTGCTGCTCCTGTGATGGGGGCAGTAATGATGTATTTCTGGAGGCTTCACATGTATCTTTTCAGAGGTCTTTTTCATTTTCAAAGTGAAGGCGATCTCCAGCCTGTTTGGACAGTTCCTCTYAGGCCACCCCAGTCTGTCATGTGCCACTCCCTGCCAAGCACTCTGCTAGACCCAAATGCAAAACAGAATAAATTTGGAGAATTGGCACAGGGAAAATCTCTCATG